TTTAAAGAGGATTGTCAAATGTTTCTTTGTAGTCTTTGATTCTATTGGTTTTATGCTTCTAATGTGTCAGGAAATATAACTGACTCTGGGGGTAATTTTCTTTTAAAGTCTAAATAACAGATGATTATAAAACCTAAAAGGAAAGGTATCTTTCTCTTGCCATTTGGGTTAGATGTACATCATAAAATATAGTAGCTGACAGAGCAGTTGTGAAGTACATTAATAATTCTAAAATTTAGAATTAATATACTCTGCCATCTGGAGTCTTAACTAAAGACATCTTTGAAATCTGCAAAGAAAATGTGTCTCTTGTCAAGTACTGGAAGCTAGAATTCAGTTCAGATTTTCATTGTTCTCATGTCAGATATTGCTCAGAATCACACCTCTTTTGCAATCAGTGTTATGCATATGTATCTTGAGAGTTATTCCGTTCAGCAAGCAGATTTATAATTCCTTCAGAGACAAGTTTTTGTTGCAAAAGACTAGCATCTCTATATGCATAATCCCTCCCTCTTTATGTGTGCTTTGTGGAGTGAGCTGGGATGCTCTTTATTTTTATGGGCATGTTTGAAAGCCTTTGTTTTCAGCATTTCTATTAAGGTGACAGCAGCAAAGTGTAAGAACATTCAATCAATCCATCATTTAAGATTTAATTAGTATTTACAATGTGTTAGACTATGTTAGGCATTTTATTTTATAAAAAATAATCCCTGTGTCTAAAATGTTCTAAGTCTAATGAGAAGGCGTGTTCTTTAATGGATAATCATTATTTAAAATGTGAGAGGTAGAACAACGATAAAGATAATGGTTACTTTACCACCCCCTGCTTTGTTTCCCCTACATAGAAGGGGACCATGGAAACCCTAGAGTTTACCTTGGTCCCCTTACCTGGAAGGAGAATCCTGTGGCCTAACCCCAGCCTGTCCTTCACCAGGAGCTAGGCCAATATGGCTTGGAGCAGCCAGTGGGGGTGCTCCTGGCTCCTGCCTGAGTATGCCCTGGACTCAGGTTTGTTTAGTCCTGCAACTCAAGTGAGGATTTACATGTGTTTACTCAAGAGGGTCTTACAGATTCTATTTGACATGGCATCATCCAACTCTTACGGTAGGGAAATCAAGTTCCCTAAGGGCCCCAGAAACAGACTTAGAAAGTCCTCTTGACAAGGCATTACTTGGGACTACATTAGACCTGAGAACGTGGGAAGAATAGGATCTAGAGAGTTCAGGGTATTGTAGAGTTGGTGGTGAGAAGTTGTATACCAATCAGATATGTTGGGCATTTGTCCTGAATGGGACCGCTCATGCTGTCTTTGGCCTACTAGGGTCTATTGACCTTAATCCTCTCTGCATCAGTCTGAGCAGTCCTTTTGACAGCAGGTCATTGTTCCAAGCTCCTTTTTCTATGATTGGAAGCTCTGATCCTGTCTTGTTAGCCCTTTCCCCATTCCTAATTCTTTTCAGCCATACTATTTCTCCCACAGTAGAGTAGAGAAACCAAGTTTCATCTCTTGTAATTAAAGATGTCTTACGTAAAATTTTTCATATGAAGAAATAGCCACAGCATTCAGCTCTGGTCTTCACAGAGCAAGACTCTCAGGAGAAGCAAGTCTGCTTGTCAAGGAATATTCTGGCTCTGCTGCCAGGAAGCCCTGTGGGCCCTCCTCCCAGCAGGAATATCAGTCTGTACCTGCATGCTTGGCATTGAAGACGCAGCTCTTCCTTCAGTCAGCAGTATGAAATACCTATACTCAAGCAGCTTTGGCCTTGAACTGACTGCTGAGCAGCTGCTGTCAAAATCGTGTCTAGGCAAGCTAATATCTGCAGCAGCTAATCTGTAGACCAGATCAGGGCTGGTCAACAATGACCTTTTCATAGAAGGTTTTGTACAAACTGTAAAGACAATGTAGCAGGTTTCTCTTATAGCTAAATTTATTCAGTTTTAGACTCTGCAATTGTTTTTACTTATCTTTGGAGATGGTTATTTTATTTTTAATGTTCCTGTTGGTTTTATAAATTTGGGGGAAAGTTTTTGCTGCTCCAGGAAACACTCAGGTTTGGGAACCACTGGTCTAAGAGTCTGGTACACAACTGTTCTCTAGCGCTTTCTCAACCTTGGCACTTTTGACATTTTGGGCCTGATATTTCTTGTGGGGCTGCCCTGTTCCTTGTAGTATGTTTAGCGGCATCCCTGGCCTCTACCCACTAGATGCCAGTAACAACCCACCCCACTCAGATGCAACAATCAAAAATATCCCCAGATATTGGTAAATGTCTCAGGGTAGGTTGGGGTGGAGTGGTGGTGAGATGTGGTCAAAAAGCTTGGCAGTTACTTTTCCAGAGGCATTATAAATTTTATTTTATTATATTATCTCCTCATAAAGAATTTTCATTGCAAGAAATGACAAGTTGTGGCAAATTTTATGGTAACCATGAACAAATGCTGGTAGCAAGGAGAACAAAGCCATATAAAGAATATATGTATCATTATACCTTGATTTTTTTGACATACACACACACACATTTATTTTTTTGTCTTACAGAAATGTTGTAAGGCTTACTTGATACTGACAAAATATTTAAAAATACCCAGTAATATTGTTTGAATGCTGGGCACTGTGTCTGTGGTGCCTAAAAAGGAGGTAGGCCCTTGAGACAATACACTGAAATGTTAACTGGAACTTCTCCCCTTCATTCCTATGCTCTTATGGAGATAGTCTGGTTTTACTGCCTTGGGGAAGAATGACCCAGCAGGCAACAAAAGAAACAGATCTTGGCTTTGGGGTCCAAAAGCTTAGGTCTTAGGATGACACAATGTATTTGGAAGAATAAATGAAGTAGCTGTGCTCTCCTGTCCCATAATAGATGAAGAGTTCATGGACTAAAGATGAAGATGTCAGAGAAGTTGAGAATGTGTGGATTTATCTGGGATCCCAAATTTGAATTAAAGTTTTGGAAAGCCTAGGGCAGAGGGGACTGAGCCTTCCATTCATTAGGTGTATATTTTTGGAGGTGTTGAAGTACGGGGCCCCTGCGTGTCCCCCAAACCCAGAGTGGTGCCAACATGAAACACATACCTTCTTGATGAGCCAGGCAAACAGCTCAGGGACCCTGGGTGGAAGGGACATAAGAAAGTTTTTGGTGGGCTAGATACTGTCATCCTTGTGGCAGAATGCCAGTTTACACCAGCATCTGGGTGGCAGGCCCTGGAGGGCATAGTAGAGAGCTGCATAGATTGACAATAGAAGATCATAGGAGGGTCTAGATGTTTCCACAGGTGTTGGCAAGGAGAGATAAGCACAGCAGATAATTTCTCACCATTGTGGTTCTACACAGTCCTTTAGAGTTGGAAGGGACCCAGAATTGACTGTGATAAAGGTTTTCCCATCTGGCAATATGAGTACTTGGGAAAGAAATTAAGTACAATTATGAAAAAATAAAGTTGCGATTCTTGTACCCTAGAATTTTTTGAGACTGGATTAGTATTCACTGTATGTAGATGTTTAAGGTACTTTACAATATTTGAAGAACCTACTGCTTTTATTTTTTTTCATTTTAACTCATAAAAATCTTAAAAGGTATTGGTATTATTTCTGTCCTCATTTTACACATGTGAAAGTGGAAGCAAAGAAAGGTTAAGTGACTTGCCCAAGGTCACACAGCCAGCAGTAACTCAAACCCGTGTCCATTCACTCTGCAACTCTTGGTTCTTGTTTTTGTCCAATATTCCCCCTAAGGACTGAAGTAAGAGCTCTGTCAGGCTCCCAAAGACTGCTGGTTTGGTACCAAAATGCTTCAGTGTTTTGCAATTCAATGTGCAGATGTGGGGAGGGCAAAGGGTTCAACTGCTGGAGCTCTGCTGCCCCACTCTGGGCTCCCTCACTGCTGTGTGCTATGTAGAGGTCTGCTACCATGCTTAGAGGTGGGGAGGCAAGGGTGAAATTTGTATGCAATGCAGATGCCCAGCCCCAGCTCAGTGGGATGAGGTGGGGAGTTAGGACTTTAAGGGCCTCCTATCTTGGATTCACCCATCCAGGTGAATGCATGCTGTTTTGCTTCCATAGCCCGATGCCCACTCTTACCACACTGTAGGTTTTTCTTGTTTAATTGTCTGTGACTGTCATTCTTGTGAGGAACTAAAGGCAAAGACTGCATCACGCTTGCTCCCCATTGCATCCCCTACACCTGGCAAAATGCCTGGCATATAGTAGGTACTGAATGAACAGACAAATGGATGGATGGATCAGTGAATTATTGGGTACCTCAATGTTCCTTATATAATCCTAGCCCCATATCCCTTAATAGCAAGGCCTCTTCTAAGGGGTTTGGGTTCAGCTTCCTTTATCTCACTCAAAGAAAGCTTTGCGAAAATGGCTACTTTTGTTGTGGGCCTCTTCACCTTCTTTTCCTTCCCTGTCCCCAAATCCCTCCTTTCTTATTATTTCTATTCACACTTCCAGTCAAAATTGTTTGAAATATTTTTTCTTCATGTTTTAAGAACTGTTTTTTCTAGCTTGTGTTTAATTGTAAGCTTCCTGTAGCCCCTCTTTAGGAGCAGGAAGTACATGTTATAAATCCATATGAGCAAACACTTTGGTGTCTCATTTTGAAAAGAAATTATAACTAAAATTCATGGTAGAAAAAAATTTCTGAAGTGGCAAGCTGCCTTTCTAAGATATTACCGTGTCTTGTTTTGGAATTTACCTTCAGTAACTAATCTACATTATTAAATAAGATTCACTTCGTTGGAGTCACTGAATAATTGCTGTGTTGGTTTTTGTGGTATTATTAGTTTTATCATTTGTTCTAAGTTGTTTTTAGGAAGTAGCCTCAGCAGTACTTGAAAAGAGATAGAAAATACTTTATATGTCTCAAAACTGGTATATTCATAATTAAAACAATGCCACAAATATAGTAAATTTTCATTGGATAATTTTTTAAAATTTAAATGAAACGCATGATAAATAAGCTTAATACCTTAACAGATTCTAATTTTTTTTTAAGGCACCATGACAGAGAAGCTTATCCCAAAGATTATGATATAGAGGGTCCTGAGGAAGTAAAAAAACTGTGTAATTCCACATACTGGCGACTTGGAACCAGTGAGCCCCCAGTAAGTAATTGCTGCTAATTTATTTAAGTAAAACATGCTATTATTGTTTTCAAAACGTTTATATGGCCCAATTGCAACAGGATTATGTATTCATTGCATAAGTACTTCCTGTTGAACTGCTGTGAGTGGGTCATTCCTTGGTTATTTAGGTGTCTTCCCAATCAGAGTAAAGCAGGAGCTCAACTTCCCAAGGCACCCAAATTGTGTCCTATAATGTCAGGCGTTTAGGGGCTAGTTGAAGACTCAATTCAGCCTTACAGGATGGGCCTTGGGGCCTGAAGATCTGGTAATTTGATAAGGACAGATATAAATGTGTAGAGAAGATTAGGTTTGTATCACATTCGTCTCCCAAAGGCTGGACTAGTTTGAAATAGAGTAGGCTTGAGAAGATCCATAATTCTATGCTGGAAATGGTTCTAGAAGATTCTCCAGGGTGATGGAAATGAATTAGCTTAGCAGCGCCTCTACCATTTCCTCTCTTCCTCTTATAGTTGCAATGGACAGAGAATTAAAAGGATATTAATAAGGCTTATAATTATAAACCTGAAAAATGGGACTTACTATAAAGATTCAAGTGCCTGATATAAAACCAGGACACTTACAGGAACCAAGACAGCTGTAAAGCAAGACATTCTCTCTCAATCTCTCTCTCTCTCTCTCTCTCTCTCTCTCTCTCTCTCTCTCACACACACACACACACACACACACACACACAATCCCTCTTGGCATCACTATTTCTCATTGTTCAGTTGTCTTCTTGACTCACAGCTCATGTCTCAGGGCCATTCTGATGGTTTCCTCAGTTTTCGCCCTGCCATCTTACTTTTGCACCAGGCTGCCTCACTGGTCATTAGCCAGCACGTGGATGGGGCTCTCCTACCCAATGCCCAACTCATCCTGTCAATAGCCACCCTGCCCCATTCCCCAAAACCCAGCTTAATCTTACTTTCTTAAGCATGGGACTGTAGTCAGAACAAGAGCAAGCTGGGCAAGGCAGGCATTGCTGGGCATGAATTTAGCATCTTAGATTCTTAAAAAACATTTATTTTTGATTTCTAAAGGAAAATGTTCTTGGTCTCTGGGTTGTGGGGGCAAGTGAGTGAAGTGAACTATGAGATGTAGGAACCCCAAATATTCATTCCTTACATTCTGTGTATTGCAGGAGTCAAGCCTCAGGTTAATAAAGGGTGTATAAATAAAATAATGTTTGCCTTCTCTATGGCATTTGTTCATTGTCACTGAAACGTTGTCTATCCTCTACCAGGCTTATAGTGTGTATTAGATAAGAAGGAAAATAGATCAAGGAATCACTATTTCTGATGAAACTGTTATTATCTTAATAGTTATATTTTTCTGTAGACTTTTTGTATATAAAATACTTGTTCATCCGTCTTGTTTCTTTTTCTTCTCAACAAAGTTGGTAAGTTGATAAGAAAGATATACATACATATAGTTCTAAAGCTAAGCTCTGACCCCAAATATCTCATTCAAGTTCCCAGTGTAAGATGTGTGGGGGGCATACAGGCACAGAGCCTCCAGCCTTCACGAGCTAGCTCTGGAGGCAGCAGGATGGATGAGTCCCTCATCCTCTTGTACAGAGCTTCGATAGAGGCCTAAATACTGTAATACTCTTGATCTTTGGTGAGAACTGTGTGTCCTAAAGCAAGATGCTGGACCATCTAGGCAGGACCTGCTATGAGATTCTAAATGAGGTTAGGCCAATATGAGGGGTTACATCATGGAAGACTGGAGTTGAAGGAGGATTTAGTTAGTTGCAGATTATATGTCTCTTCTTCCCCAGTTGAGAGGCTTTTCAAGGTGATCACTCAAAGAGATTAACATATGTGTCCTGGAATTTAGAAGCCATAGGGTCCAGGTATATAACACATGCCTGAGAATCTAAAGGTGAGAGGTTATATCTGATCTGACAGGGCTGAAAGAGACAGAGAGCAAGCAGCTCTTGGAGCAGAGATGGTGGTGGTCAGGATGTATGAGTTGCATGAGTTTACCCATGGGACCTGCTGGAGGCAATTTGCTGGAGGGCTCTTGAAAGAGCAAAGAAACCCAGCACAAAAGACCCACCAGGTACACACGGATTGGTAAGAGGAGTTACAGTTAGCCAAGAGGAAAAGAAGTTCTGCTTGCTTCCAGAAAGCTTCAGTTGGAGGTTATGGTAAGAGAATCTCTGGAAATAATTCCAAATGTGCCCCATGGGAGCAGTCACTTTGGAATGTCCTCCAAGCCCGGGACCCCAGTGCAGGTCCAAAGGGTAAGAGCTACTTAATACAATACTTTTTCACCCCATCTCCCACACCAACCAGAGCTGGGAGAGGCCTGTGAGTTGAGGGGAGTAGAAGAGAGAGACCTGGACGGGAACTGACAGTGAAGCAAGGACCCACTCAAGCAGCCTTCCAGGCCTAAGGCATCACTGGGCTGGGGAGGTGGGAGACTTAAATCTAATGCAGTTAGAAGTTTTGATCATTTCACTCAACTGGAACCCTTTATAACCAAAATGAGGTCCTTCTTGAGATTGAGGGGTCCCAGAAAATATATGGGACTTGCCTAAAATTTTCATTAAACAGAAGGAAAGAGCTAGCTATCTATGGGGGATAAGGAACAGCTTGATTAAAAGGTGCTTCATGATTGCATCTCTCGGTGCAGTAGGACCAATTCCGTAGGAGGGTTGTATGAGCAGTGCCTCATTTCATCTTGTGGATGACCCTTCAGTACATACCACATTGTACAGATGAGGAAACAGCCCAGTGAAACTTAATCACCTGTTCAAAAGTCAAACAACTAGAAAGTGTATTAAAAATTAAAATCGATTTTTTTCTCTCTGGTTCCAGAGTCTAAGATCTTTTGGAGTGTCAAATTGTCCTACTCCTTTTGGAGTGTCAAATTGTCCCACTCCCAGCCCAGTGACCCTCGTACATCCCCCAACACTACAACCTTGTGATTTTCACTTGTCTGACACCAAATGCAATGGTGTATTTTTTTCCCTATATATGTGTATAACAATAACAGTATTATTCACAGCAGTAATAGTGGGGTAATTTGGGTTCCCAGACCTGATTCCAATGTGTCTAAGTATGTGGGAGGGGGTCTTCCCACACATAGTTACTCCAAGCAATTCTCGAAGACCAGCAGGGTGTCCAAGAACTCAACTCAATCCTGATGTTACCTGCTTGGAGACAGCACCAGATTCTCCAGGTTAAAGGCTCTGTACTACAAAGCTGCCCTCCACAGCCCTCCAGATGCCGGTCACAAGCCCCAGGCGGTTCTCTGTGCTTCTGACCTACTGGGCTACATATTGGAGATTCCAACAACCTCCCCCTTGGGTTCAATTAATTTGCTAGAGCAGCTCACAGAACTCAGGAAAACACTTACATTTACCAGTTTAATAAAGGTAACAGCCAGACAAAGAGAAACATAGGGCAAGGTCCCACATAAAGGAGCTTCTGTCTTCATGGAGCTTGGGGTCTGGCACAGTGGCACATGCAAGCGTTCTGGTTCCCCAAGCGTAGACGTTCTCCCTGACTCGGAAGTAGGATCTAACTGAGCAGTGCAGAGCAGAGAGCAGTAAGCTCTTCTCAGGAGATATTGTGAGGACTTAAATGCATAGTCGTGATTGACTGAGGTATTGGTTGTTGGCTGATTCAACCTCCAGCCCCTGCCCTGGGGTAGGATCCAAAAGTTTCTCATTTAACATGACAAAACACCCGTCTTACTTTTAAGACCAGTGTTTTCAGGAACAGTGGATGAAGACCAAATATACTTGGGAAATATATATTTGGTCATATTTCTTATGACTCATTATATTGCAAACCGCCTTGCAGAAAATGAACCTGGTTGGTTTTTTTTTAACACAGGTTTGGATATCATATACATCTCACTGCTTATATGTTGGGGCATTGATCTCCTACATCTTAGCTGTAATCCCTGTCCTGTTCCCTGAATTGCATCCACATGTACTGCTTAGCCCGATTCCCATTTGCTTCCCCTACTGAATGCCTTCTTAGCATTTTTAGGTTTTTTGCAAGATTGCTGCTGAGTGGTAACTTCTAATATCCACTAGCAGTTCTGTTTAGCTGATTAAAGGTCTTTTGCCCTTAAATGATGCTGCTGGGGCTAATGTGACTATTGTTTCTTTGTAACCAGATGTAAAATGGGCCTCTCTTTGCCTACGTTTTAGCTGGGATTCCCGAAGGCCAAGAACAAAACGATAGTTTCATATGCCAAAATGAAATATTAGGCTACTTAGGTGAAACCCTCAAAGAAGATGGTGCTCTTAGGCCACCACTCACATGATGGATGTAAAAGGGTTGAAATCCAAGAAGGAAAAGAGGAGTTTGAGAGTAGAGACAAGGTTTTGGAAAAGGCATACTTTGAAGCTCATCTGCAAACCCCCTCAAGTGCCTGGTAAAGTTACAGATAAGGGGCTCTGGTGGTCTGTCTAAAGCAGCAGAGTAGAAAGAGGGGAACCGGCTCATGTACACCAATGGGGGGGCAAGGATAAGCGAGCACTTAAGCCCAGATACAGCATTTGGGGGCCAGATGTGGGCCATGTAGAAGGAAAAGATGACAGGGAGCCATTTCAAAGCCAGCCCAAGAGCACCTCATGTGCGGATGGTTCACCTGGATTCCCAGGGGCTGAGACAGGACATTTAAGGGCAGACAGTGGATCTTGCGTCATGGAAAATGCCATCAAATGTTCCCAGACGGGATTTCAACATCTACTGGAATAGCCCCAAGAAATTCAGCTTTAAACGTCCATCAGTCCCAGAGAGGATCAGATACAGACATGCCCAGAGGATACCAGACAGGATTATATACTTTCACCTTTCCTGCATTTACCTCTTCTGCCTCATAACTTCACACTCTTAAACCCTCAAAGGGGCCAGAGGGACTTGGGGAGTAGAGAAGTCTAAGGAAGACAAGTGAGAGGAAGCCAACTGTACCCCCTTTTCCCACTGAGGTATACTACGTCAAAGCAGACCCAA